CGGCTGACACCTAACCGAAAAACCCAACACAAAGAGATCTTTATGATATAACATGAGAACGAATTTGTAAGATAAACAAGAAAGAAAAAAAACCGTAAAGAAGGATAAAATAAAATCCATCCACGACCAATCTATAAACATAAAATACATCAAAACCATCGCAAATAATAAACAGAGAAGCACGAACAAAAAACGTTTTTTTGCATTTTTAATTTATTTGGATGGGGAAGGAGTATTAGAGAGAAGATTTTTTTGGTCCCATCCGCCGCACAAAAGGATACAAAACCTAGTATATTAAAAAAAAAAATCATAATATACAACAAAAATATGCGCTCTCAAAAAGTAACTGAAAGACTCGCGCAGCTAAAGTTAAAAAGAAAAAAAAGAAAAAAATAAACACAAAACAATACAAAAAAGGAAGAAGGATACATAAGCACATTTACACTGAAGATTAGAATAATGATTTAATCAGAGCTGGACAGTCTTATCTTAAATGACAGATTTATGTAAATATTCAAAAACATTTAACCTACTGATGCCTCAATTAATGTAATTTTATTTGTATCTATTTTTATTTTGAAATTTACCAGTAGCTGCTGCATTTCCCACCCTAAGTTTATGCTCAAGTCAATAAGTTTTCCCAGTTTTCTGTGGTAAAATTAGGTGTCTTGGCTTATATTCAGGTCGGCTTATACTCGAGTATATGCGGTATTTTACCTTCCCAGTTCCCTGCTATCAGTAATCTTGCTGCAGTTAACATGTTATCTATTGCATCTTTCTCTGTTTTTTTCAATTTCTTAACATTATACAGGGTTAGTCAAAATGAATAGGCCAATAAGAAAATTAATTTTAGACGAATGTATGTTTATTGTAACCAAACCACAGCTACGTAGCGACAGATAAACTATCAAAGTTTTGTCTCACCTTCAGAGATGTTCGATATGGGCGCCCCGTGTGACACGGCAGATGTCCAAGCGATAGTCCAGTTCATTCCACATCCGTTGCAGCACATCCGACGTAATGGCATCGAATGCAGCAACGTCTGGGAAGGTGTTCGTTGAGGTCCTAACCCTAACCCTAACCCTAACCCTATCCCTAACCCTAACCCTAACCCTAACCCTAACCCTAACCCTAACCCTCCCTAACCCTAACCCTAACCCTAACCCTAACCCTAACCCTTGAAATTCTCGCTGGACCGTAATTACTGACATTGTTTTAGCAAATGTCATCACACAAAACGCCTTCTCTTTGCTTGATTCCGCCATTTTGAAAACAGCGACCCCTAGCGACGCCTAGCGGCATTAACGTACATGTGTGTTGCTCAAAAAAAACTTTGATAGTTTATCTGTCGCTACGTAGCTGTGGTTTGGTTACAGTAAACATACATTCGTCTAAAATTAATTTTCTTATTGGCCTATTCATTTTGACTAACCCTGTATATGTATTTTACCAATACTACCAATCAATTGTATTACATTTCTAAAAGGAAAACAAACAAACAAAAAAACAGACAAAATACAAAATTTGTAAGTTTGGTAGTTGATTAAATGTCCTTTGACCAGTATCTGGCCACTTGGAGTGCTTACGGTGTTGCTGCAAGGAGGTCCTCCATGGTGCATGTGGCAGGGCTCAGGTTGCATTGCAGCAGGTGGTCTGTAGTTTGTTCTTCTCCGCACTCGCATGTCGAGGATTCCACTTTGTAGCCCCATTTCTTGAGGTTGGCTCTGCATCTCGTGGTGCTGGAGCGCAGTCTGTTCAGCACCTTCCAAGTTGCCAGTCTTCTGTGTGCCCAGGAGGGAGTCTCTCATTTCGTATCAGCCATTGATTGAGGTTCTGGGTTTGAGCCTGCCACTTTTGGACTCTCGGTGCTGAGGTGTTCCAGCGAGTGTCTCTGTAGATCTTAGAAAACTATTTCTTGATTTCAGTCATTGACGTGCTGGCTAATACCCAAACAGGGGAAGAGCTGGAGATGTCTTTGCCTTGGTCCTTTCACTATTGGCTGCTACTTCCCGGCGGATGTCAGGTGGTGCAATACCGGCTAAGCAGTGTAATTTCTCCAGTGGTGTAGGGCGCAGACACCCCGTGATAATGCGGCATGTCTCATTAAGAGACACATCTACTGTTTTAGTGTGATGAGATGTGTTCCACACTGGGCATGCGTACTCAGCAGCAGAGTAGCATAGCACAAAGGCAGATTTATTTATTTATTTATTTGCTATATTTGTATACCGCCGTTTCTCAGCCTAGCCGGCGACTCAACGCGGTTTACAACATAGTATAACAATCAACAATATACAGTTAAAAGCATAAAAACATAAAACACAATTCATACATCAATACCAATCCAGTTCAACTCTTAACTAAAAACGTGATCCAGTTCGTCGTCCATATTGCCAGTCCTTTAGTCAATTACCATTCATTGCACTGAGTTAACCAAATGCCTGCTTGAACATCCAGGTCTTCAATCTTCTTCGGAATACCATCAATGAGGGGGCTGATCTTACCTCCAAGGGCAGGGCGTTCCATAGCCGCGGGGCCACCACAGAAAAGGCCCTGTCTCTCGTACCCGCCAGCCGCGCCTTCACAGATGTCTTCACTGTGCCTGGTTGTGATCCCCAGGTTGTGCCAGTCAGCTTTCGTATGATATTGTTTTTAGCACCCACTTTTTGCTTGATGTTCAGGCAGTGCTTCTTGTAGGTCAGAGCACGGTCCAGAGTGACTCCCAGGTATTTGGGTGCGCTGCAATGCTCCAGTGGGATTCCTTCCCAGGTGATCCTCAGAGCTCGGGATGCTTGTCTGTTCTTAAGGTGAAAGGCACATGTCTGTGTTTTAGATGGATTAGGGATCAGCTGGTTTTCCCTGTAATAGGCAGTAAGAGCTAGAGCTTCGGAGAGCTTCTGTTCTACCATCTCAAAGCTCCCTGCTTGAGCAGTAATGTCACGATCATCTGCATAGATGAAACTCTCTGTCCCTTCTGGCAGTGGCTGGTGATTTTGTAGATGTTGAACATGGATGGGGCAAGCACGATCCCCTGAGGCAGGCCGTTCTTCTGTTTCCGCCATCTGCTTCTCTGGCCCTGGAACTCAACAAAAAAGCTCCTGTTTTGTAGCAGGTTTCCTATGAGGCGGGTGAGGTGGTAGTCCTTTGTGATATTATACATTTTTCTCAGGAGGAGGCAGTGGTTCACAGTATCATAAGGCTGCTGACAGGTCTATGAAGACAGCTCCTGTGATCTGCTGCCTTTCAAAGCCATCTTCTATGTGCTGAGTCAGGTTCAGCACTTGCGATGTGCAGCTTTTGCCTTTTCTGAAGCCAGCTTGCTGTGGGATCAGACATGGGTCTATTTTTTCCGTAATTCTATGCAAAATAAGTCTCTCCAGAACTTTGTAGAGGTGGCACACAGGGAGATTGGTCTGTAGCTTTTTGGGTCATTACGGTCTTTGCCTGGCTTCAAGATTTATTTATTTATTTACTTACTTACTTACTTAATTTATATACCGCTTTTCTCAGCCCTCAGGCGACTCAAGCGATAGCGATGACTCTTGCTTTCCTCCAGATTTTGGGGATCTGACAGGATGCAGTGCAGTTGCCCATCAGCTCCAGCAGCCAGCACCTTGCTTTTGGGCCAAAATCCTTGATTTGTTCCATCCGTAGATTATCCATTATCATCCATAGATCATTATATAGTGACAACAATGCAATGCTTGCACTTTTTCCTATCTTCATATCCATTATAGCTTCTATTTCTCCAAATACCTACCCCAAAATTCATTTACATATTTACATTTCCACCACATATGTATATATGTACCCACCTCCTGGCAACCTCTCCAACAGTTTTTTGTAGCATTCCTATTAATATTTGTAATCTTTACAGGTGTTAAGTACCATTTCCAAACCAATTTATAATTTTCTTTACCACAAGAAGTTTTATATATCTGAGGTATATAATGTTATCTCAGATATATAAAACATTTACTAACAACAAATGGCATTCAGAAGTTTTCTGAATGCCATTTGTTATTAGTAAATATTTTATATATCTGAGATAACATTATATACCTGTATACACAGGTGATGTAGATATTAGTCAGGTAGAAAGGGATTGCTCATGCAAAAATGTAACAAGCCTTGTCTAATCCAAACCCCATTCTGCCATGTAAGAATACACAATCAAATCTCTCCCAACAGATGGCCACCCAGCCTCTGCTTCAACAGCCCTTGGACCCTCACCTGCCACTTGGCGGAATCAACCTCTTGCTGCCTCTTGAGGAGGAAGTCCTCTGCCAGGGTCACAGCCTGGGAACAGGTCTCCGGCCCTGCGCCTCGGACCCATCCTTGCAGGTCTTCGGGAAGACTGGCCAGGAATTGCTCCAGGACCAGTAGCTCCAGGATCTGCTCCTTGCTGCATCTCTCCGGTTTCAGCCACCGACTGCAAAGCTCCTGGACTTGGCTGTAAACCCTTCGTGGATCCTCCACCTCTTGGCAGAAGAACTGCCGAAAATGCTGGCGATGCAGCTCTGTTCTCAGGGCCTCCGCTCTCAAGATGGCCGCCCTCACTTTCTCATAGTCCTCTGTGTCCCCGGCTTCCAGGCTCCGATAGGCCTGCTCTGCTTCTCCGCTCAATGCGGGCAACAGCCGGGCCGCCCACTCTTCCTTTGGCCACTGACAGGCTTTGGCCACTTGCTCGAAGGAGGCCAGGAAGGCCTTGGTTTCATCCCACGGTATTTCCTCTGCTGCTGGAAGGCTTCCCCATGCCGAGGAAGGTGACTGGAGGGTCTTCAGGAACTCCTGCCATTGGGTTTCCCAGCGCTGCTGCATCCTTTGAACTAGAAGCTCGTTGCCTTCTTTCCATGTTGGCCCCTCAGTTATGGGTGTTCCTTGTTCCAGCTGCAGACTTGCAGGATTTGGCTCATCCATCCCCTTCCTCTCTTCAAGCCAGACTTCAGCTCTAGAAAAAAAGTCACTAGCGTTACTTCCAGGAAAATACCTTGAACAACAGAGTCGCCCGACTTTGCTCTGAATGTGCAGGAGCAAAGGCCTGCTGTTCTTTCCTTATCCAATGGAAAAACTCAATACAGGCAATTCTGGCAGTGAAGAGATGTATTCCTGAGCGGAACAGGGAGTTTCTTCCTGAATTAAAAATGATTTATTTATTTATTTATTTATTTATTTATTTATAGTATTTATATTCTGCTCTTCTCACCCCGCAGGGGACTCAGGGCAGAATCCATGGCAAACATTAAATGCCATAGACACACAACGTGTATAGGCAGACACACAGAGGCCATTTAACTTTCCAGCTTTCATAATAATAATAATAATAATAATAATAATAATAACAATAGTAATCTTTATTTATACCCAGCCACATCTCCCCAGTGGGGACTTGGAGCGGCTTACATGGGGCCAAACTCAGACTACATATTACAGCAGAATAAACCCAAAAAAATAAAGAACAAACAACATCATCAAAATTACATAGAAGAAAAAAAACATTCCAATAAACACAGTCACAGTCATGAGGGTATTCTGGCCACCAGGACAGCTGTTGCTTCACTGTCAATTTGTGACACTGATGAAGTACTTCCTTATTCTTTAAATCCTTGCTGGAGATTTTTAAGGTGTCGTAAATTAGTTAAACTAGCATCCCCACAAAGCGGTACCTAAATTTCCTACTTGACAGATTCAACTGTCTTTTGGGCTGCAAAGGTTGACAGTAAGCTACACAAATTGGTCGGAAGCTCACTCCGACCCGAACAGGCTTCAAACTCATGACCTTTCAGTGAGTAGTGGTCTTAAATGCAGCTGACTCCCAGCTAGCTGCGCCACAGTCCCGATGAAATATAGAGGCGGAAATAGAATAAAAAATCAGTTTGGTTGGAATTTCTTTTGAAAAAATCTATTCCTTTGCCTTTTCAAAGGGTGGTAAGAGTGGAGTAACTCCATCTCTCACAGAATCCATGAGAACCCAACGGCTATCCTCTCCAGTCCCATTCTGCCAAGCAGGAAGGCACAATCCAAGCCCTCTCAAGCGATGACCATCTGGCCTTGTTAACAAACCTTCAGAGGAGGAGACTCCATCACACTCCAAGGCAGCAGCAGGTTCCACTGTCAAACAACTCAGGAAATTATTCCTAATGTTTAGGTGGAATCTCTCTTCCTGTACCAAGTAACTGTGATCTGGCCATGGATACCAAATGTGCGGTATAGCCACCCCTCTCGCCCTGACCAATGTTAAAGACTGGTGGGTTTGGGAGGCGCTTACAATGTGTCACATTGCCAGGGCTCTGCCCTATTTAGGTAGAGATTAATCAAACTCCCAGTTTTAACAAACAGTTTAATTAAAACAGCACTTACTTACTGGCTGTTTTTATAGTCCAAAACATAAAACACAAAGATAGCACACAGCTACAGAATAAACAAAAACTGATAGCAAAAATAACTTCATCGTTAAAATGATCCAGTCCAATGCTCAAATGCCGAGAGTTCAATGAACAAAGTCCAGGAATCAAGAGTCTAGACTGTAGTCAAAAGCCAGTCCAAAGGTGAAAGGGTTCCAAGATTAAAGGAGACAAGTCAGGATACCGAAAAATCCAACAGACCTGGGGAAAAACCAGCAGCATCCACCACCAAAATACAACAGATACTTTTCTCCCAAAGATCAGTCCCAAGGTTAGCTCCTTAAATTCAGTAACACCCAGCTGCAACCTATCCCCTGCATGCCTCCACCCTTAATTGCTTTTACCTGTAAACTGTTCCTTACAAACTACTCAGCCCCTTAGAACCAAGACTTAGAGCCGTCGCAAACTCTGTTCCTGCGGGAGCAAACCTTGCTAGCATGTCCCTGACGTCATGAGCCTGCGCCTCTCGCCCCGCCCCTTTCTCCGCCCCTTTCTCTTTGCCAGCATGGTTTTTCCTTTGCTAGGGCAGCATTGCCCGCATTTTTTCTCAGTTGAATTCTGCCAACTGAGAGAGTATGCTGGCAATGCTGCCCTAGCAAAGGAAAAACCACTCTCGCAAGGAGAAAGAGGCGGAGAAAAGGGCGGGGCGAGAGGCGGAGTCTCATGACGTCAGGGACATGCTAGCAAGGTTTGCTCCCGCAGGAACAGAGTTTGCGACGGGTCTTACATTAACACTTCCATCACCAACTGCCAGGTCTACCACCACCAACTACCATCAACTATGGAACATATGACATTATGGATGATGGAAGTTACACTTCACCCACAAGCAGAGACCACTGTGACCACCTCCGAAGATGTATCTGGACTAAATGTGACACATGGACCCCCCTCCCCATGGCCCACAGAAAGTACTGGAGGAGTTTGGTAGTGTGTTTGACCCTAGATGATGGGAGTTATAGTTCTCCCATACGAAAGTGAACCTCACCAATCATGGACCTGAACCAAACTTGGCACATAGACCCATCATGATCAAGTCTTAACTCCTGATGCAGTTTGGAGACAATGACAGGTGATGATGGAAGTTGTAGTTTACCCACACCCATTTGTCAACGAAAGTCAACATTGACACTGAAATACAACCCTGCCTGAGCTCTGCGAGTGCAGCACTTTCCAAATAAAGCAGAATGTTTGAGGACTGGGACATCCGTAGGGAGACCAAGGTGTTTGTTTATAAAGCTAATAGCTGTCCCCTGCCACACGTTGCTGTGGCCCAGTTTGTTGATCTGGAAAATAAAGTAATGAGAAAGTGTTGGTTTCTAATATATGTAATTTCTTTATGCTTATGGGTAAACAGTATTTCTTGCAGTTTCTTTGTCACTGCTGATGTGGAGAGTATCTGGTTTGCCCACCCTGGAACATGCAACATATCATTGTCCTTCTTTAGGGGTCCCTTTCAAATATATGATACTATCTCTAGGTGTGTATGAGAATCATATCTATCTATCTATCTATCTATCTATCTATCTATCTATCTATTTATCTATCTATCTATATCTATGGCTGGATGGCTCTTTGTCACAAGGACTTTGATTACATTTTCTTGCCCTGATGAAGGGAGTTGGATTGCATGGCCTTAAGTATTTTCTGTTACTCATGGGGGTTCTGTGTGGGAAGTTTGCCTCAATTCTGTCTTTCGTGGGGTTCAGAATGCTCTTTGGATTGTATGTGAACTGTGAATCCCAGTGTCTACAACTCCCAAATGTCAAGGTCTATTTCCCCCAAACTCCATCGGTGTTCACATTTGGGCGTATTGAGTGCTTGTGCCAAGTTTGGTCCAGATCCATCATTGTTTGAGTCCACAGTGCTCTCTGGGTGTAGGTGAACTACAACTCCAACTCAAGGTCAATGCACACCAAACCCTTCCAGTATTTTCTGTTGGTCATGGGAGTTCTGTGTGCCAAGTTTGGTTCAATTCCATCATTGGTGGAGTTCAGAATGCTCTTTGATTTTAGGTGAACTATAAATCCCAGCAACTACAACTCCCAAAGGTCAAAAATCATAATTTTTGAGTGATGGTCACTCCTTGTGTTGTGAGACGTTTTGTTGCCAAATTTGGTGTGATTTCATTCCTTGGTTCTTTTGTTTTGAAGGTACTCATTATGCACAGAGCATTTTTATATATATAGTCTAGCTGTCCCCTGCCACGCGTTGCTGTGGCCCAGTCTGGTGATCTGGAAAATAAAGTAATGAGAAAGTGTTGGTTTCTAATATATGTAATTTCTTTATGCTTCTGGGTAAAGAGTATTTCTTGCTGTTTCTTTGTCAGTGTTGATGTGGAGATTATCTGGTTTGCCTACTCTGGAACACGCAACACATAATTGTCCTTCTTTAAGGGTTCCTTTCAAATCTATAATACTATATCTCTTTGTGTGTGAATCATATATATCTGTCTATATCTATGACTGGATGGCTCTTTGTCAGGAGGGTTTGATTACATTTTCTTGCCCTGGTGAAGGGAGTTGGACTGGATGGCCTTAAGTATTTTCTGATAGTCATGGGAGTTCTGTGTGGGAAGTTTGCCCCAATTCTGTCATTGGTGGGCTTCAGAATGCTCTGATTGTAAGTGAGCTATAAATCCCAGTAACTACAACTCCCAAATGTCAAGGTCTATTTCCCCGAAACTCCATCTGTGCTCATATTTGGGCATATTCAGTATTCGTGCAGAGTTTGGTCCAGATCCATCATTGTTTGAGTCCACAATACTCTCTAGATGTAGGTGAACTACAACTCCCAAACTCAAGGTCAATGCCCACCAAACCCTTCCAGTTTTTCTGTTGGTCATGGGAGTCCTGTGTGCCAAGTTTGGTTCAATTCCATCGTTGGTGGAGTTCAGAATGCTCTTTGATTGTAGGTGAACTATAAATCCCAGCAACTACAACTCCCAAATGACAAAATCATAATTTTTGAGTGATGGTCACTCCTTGTGTTGTGAGACATTTTGTTACCAAATTTGGTGTGATTTCGTTCATTGGTTCTTTTGTTTTTAAGGTACTCATTATGCACAGAGCATTTAAGGATACTCCAAGGATGATTGTCTTCCAATATTCTTGTGGGTCCGTATGTGGCTGTGGAGCCCTATTCTTGCTCTGCATCTTCTTCCGCAGTGAGGGCATTGGTTTCCAGGTGGAAGGCGGTCTCGGCCGGGGTTGGCTTGACGCGCCTTCCTCTTGGCACGTTTCTCTTTTTCACCCTCCACTCGTGCCTCCTCAAATTCTGCAGCACTGGTCACAGCTGACCTCCAGCTGGAGCGGTCAAGGGCCAGGGCTTTCCAGTTCTCACAGTCTATGCCAGAGTTTTTAAGGTTGGCTTTGAGCCCATCTTTAAATCTCTTTTCCTGTCCTCCAACATTCCGTTTTCCGTTCTTGAGTTCGGAGTAGAGCAGCTGCTTTGGGAGACGGTGGTCGGGCATCCGGACAACGTGGCCGGTCCAGCGGAGTTGATGGCGGAGGACCATCGCTTCAATGCTGGTGGTCTTTGCTTCTTCCAGCACGCTGACGTTTCTCCGCTTGTCTTCCCAAGAGATTTGCAGGATTTTCCGGAGGCAGCGCTGATGGAATCGTTCCAGGAGTTGCATGTGACGTCTGTAGACAGTCCACGTTTCACAGGCATATAGCAGGGTTGAGAGAACAATAGCCTTATAAACAAGCACCTTGGTATCCCTACGGTCCTGAAACACTCTCTGCTTCATTCGGAAAAATGCTGCACTCGCAGAGCTCAGGCGGTGTTGTATTTCGGTGTCAATGTTGACTTTGGTGGAGAGGTGGCTGCCAAGGTAGCGGAAATGGTCAACATTTTCTAATGTTACACCATTAAGATGTATCTCTGGCATTGGAGAGGGATTGCTGGTGACTGCTGGAAGAGCACTTTGGTTTTCTCAATGTTTAATGACAGGCCAAGCTTCTCGTATGCTTCTGCAAAGGTGTTTAGAGTGGCTTGTAGGTCTTCTTCTGAATGCGCACAGATTACATTGTCATCAGCATACTGGAGTTCTATAACAGACGTTGTGACATTGGTTTTGGCTTTCAGTCTATGCTGAGGTTGAATAGCTTGCCATCTGTCCGATAGATGATTTCCACTCCGGTGGGAAGCTTCCCATCAACAAGGTGAAGTATCATAGCGATGAAGATGGAGAATAGAGTTGGGGCAATAACACATCCCTGTTTGACACCTGATTCCACCTTAAATGGGTCACTTTGGGAGCCACTGCTGTCCAAGACTGTTGCCATCATGTCATCGTGGAGGAGCCGCAGGATGTTCACAAATTTGTTTGGGCACCCGATTTTGTGGAGGATGGTCCAGAGAGCGCTGCGATTCACTGTGTCGAATGCCTTTGCAAGGTCGATGAATGCCATGTACAGAGGTTGGTTTTGTTCTCTGCATTTTTCTTGGAGCTGTCGTGCAGTGAAGATCATGTCCACTATTCCTCTGGAGGAGCGGAAGCCGTTCTGGGATTCTAGGAGGGTGTTTTCTGAGAGGGGCAGAAGGAGGTTTGCAAGGATTCTTGTGAGGATTTTCTCAGCTGAGGTTAGAAGGGAGATACCTCGATAGTTTCCGCAGTCTGTTCTTTCCCCTTTTTTGAAGAGGGTGATGATGGTGGCATCCTTGAAGTCTGCTGGGATTTTCTCGGTCACCCACACTTTTTCTATGAGCTGGTGGCGTTGGTGTGTCAGCTCAGGTCCTCCCTCTTTAAAGATTTCAGCAGGGATCCCATCAGGTCCGCTGGCTTTGTTATTTTTTGTTGGCTGATGGCATTGCTGACTTCTTCCAAACTAGGCAGTGCTGCAAGCTCATCCCTGGTTTGTTGTTGCGGGATTTGTGAGAGAACCTCTTCAGCCACATT